GGTACAATGAATCTGTGACTTTGAGTGAGAATATAAGAAAACAGGCAAACATGCCAACTTAACCCTGGCATCAAGCATTGAGTGTATCTTTTCCAATGGATCAAGAAAACGGTAAACAACTAGAGGACAAGCAGTGTGCATTTACTAAAAAACGCAAGAAATGTTAAAAGGCACTGTTTATTTTGATTATTTGATACATTGGGCAGTCTACAATACAAGAATGTTTCCAATAGAATGGAGCATTCTAGATTATTGGGCCTCTTTCACAAACCTAGTGCCGGTTGAGCAACGTTTGAGAACACTCTGTAGGATTCCTTCCCAAAAGTTTTGTCCAAACAAAACATCCCAAATTTAAGTACATGGGATATCAAATATATGCTCAACATTGAGAAAATCGCAAGCACAAATACGATAAATTAAAGTAAAGCCGACTTTGGAAGCCGATGTTAAATCCAGGCAACTATATCCGTGGTAGAAGGGTTGGAAGATCGGAAGGGACATCCGAACTTGCCTGCAAAGTGAGAAATACGGTCAGGATCGCAATTGTTCAAGTTCTTGCAATACATGAAAACATAAATTTATTCTCTTTTAGCTGTGATACGATGCTTTCACACCTCTAGGTATCTTGTTAGCAACGTTGTGGTGCTACAATTAAAGCCCTGAACAGGTTCTCCCTTGGTACGAGATGCATGAAGTTGCTTTCTAACTTGAGTAGCTAGAGACTGCCCATTGACAACATGAACACCATGTGTCCATTGGAAAATAGTCATTTGAGATGAATTCACTTTACAAAACAGTGATGGAGGAAAAGAAGTAATAGCAAAGTACATACAACCGAGAGAGGTTTCCCAGGTAATACTAACCTTTCCCAATTCAACTCCCCATTGGTCGAAAGAGTTGATGCCCCATATGAAACCTTGCACAGCAACTCTGTGTTCATAGATTGCCAACAGCTGGATATTGGCAAGTAACATTAAGAAACAGAGTTAGTTGGTAAATACAATCAACAGCTGTATTGTGCAGATTCACCAATTTATTGGAGAAAAATAATCAGAAAAATACACATGCTAAGGATATGCAGTTGATCATAAAAAGATAGCAATATTGACACTTAACAGCAATTGATTTGACCTCAACTCCGAAACAATTCAGTGATCAGTCTAATAGCATCGGCTCAAAAAGATGTTATTTTGCAAATGTGTGTAACATGTTTTTAAAGTTCTGGGATACTTTTAGCAATTCAAAGAGAGACTTAA